GTGATGATGATGATGATGACGATGATGATGATGATGGGATGATGATGATGATGATGACGATGATGATGACGATGATGATGATGATGATGATGATGATGATGATGACGATGATGATGATGATGACGACGATGACGATGATGATGATGATGACGATGATGACGATGACGATGATGATGATGACGATGATGATGATGATGATGATGATGATGATGATGATGATGATGATGATGACGACGATGACGATGATGATGATGATGACGATGATGACGATGACGATGATGATGATGATGATGATGATGATGATGGTGTTGTGGTTATTATTCTTTTACCCCTCTCACACCTCACTACAGACAGCAATTTTCGGCAGAGACCTGACACGCTTTTAACGAAAAATCTTGGAAAAAACAAAAAAAAAACCTCCTATCATCATAGACCCTTGAAATCGCTTCCTCCTCCTCCTCCTCCTCCTTAACGCTAAACCCTCCTCCTCTTCTCAACCCCAGTCAGGTTCGCCCATAGGCTCAGTCCTTCCTCCCTGTTTGTTCAATACTCCTCCCGTTTCTCCATTCATGTTGGTTACCTCTTACACTACCGCTACTGCTTCTTCCTCCTCATCACCGTCCTCACCGTCCTCTTCCCCCCCCGTCCCCCTCAACACCCTCATCATATCGTGTTCGTCTCACCAAGAATTCTGTTCATCCACAGCGAGTTTGAGAGCTTGTCGCCCACTCGCGCAATCTTCCCCGCATGTTCCTCCCTCCACCTCGTCAGGTTCCCCACAGTGATGGAGGAGGAGAAGGAGGAGGGAGGGAGGACGACGACGGGGAGCTCAAGTTTCCTCCACATCCTATCGAGAGAGGAGGAGGTAGTTATCACGATGCAGCCCAGCAGCAGCGCTTCCCACGTCCTGTGGCAGTCGAGGCCATTGCCGGGCAACGAGATCTCGAACGCGAATTTCGACTTCTCCCTCCACGCCATCTCCCTCCTCTGCCTGCCCCCTCCTCCACCCCACTCTACCAGCTCGTTCCCCTCCAGCTCTTTCACTGCCTCCGCCCTTGTCAACCCTCCAGCTCCGAACCTCCTCCCGTACTTGGCGTTGACCTGAAAGTCCGCATACACGCGCAGGATCCTCTCCTCGCTCCGCTTCATCCTCCTCCTGATCTGCTCAAGCACTTCCTCCTGCTCCCTTGGGCTGCTTGCCTTCTCCACCCAGTTCCAAGGTAGCAGGACAGTCCTCAGCCCTATCCCCACCTGCATCCCTCCCAGGATGTACGGGCCCGCTGCCCTTGTATGCAGATCCAGCCCTATGGGGAGGAAGCGAAGCTTTGCTGCCTGCCGCCCTCCTGCCTCCCCCCCCTCCTCCTCGTTCAAGTTCTGGCACCACCACGACAGCAGCAGCCGATTCTGCAGGAGCGTCTTCACCTGCTGACCATCCATCGCCTCCATCGGCAGCGTCGCATCCCCGCCCCCCGTCATCAACACGAAGGGCTGACGGATGGAGGGAACAATCCTCCTTACGAAGGAGCGCATGCTCGAGCTGCAGACATACAGCAGCGCTGCCGCCCTGGGTAGACGAGGAGGTAACATTGTCAGGTTCCCCCAGTCTACCTCCTGCTCCATCCCTCGCACGCTCGTCGCTTCATGGCAGTAGGCGGCGTCCGCCTGTATCTCGAAGCCCCTGCTCCACACAAACCTGGAGGGCTCCCATGCTGAAGGCGGGACGGGCCGTCCGAGGATCTCAGCGGAGAGGAGGGAGAGGAGGAGGAAGGAGAAGAGGGAGATTAGAAAGAACCTCAGGAGACGTCGTCTGTGGTGGATACAGCAGGAGAACAGATTGACTCGGGCGATGAGAGCGGAGGTCATTCTCGTTATATCCTTCCTCTTCTTCGGTCGCGTTTCCCTCTCAAAACTCTTCATGCACTTCTCGTCCTCATGCCAGGCATCTCGACTTGGTGCCTTGCTAGTTCCAGTCAAGCAGGAAGGCAGTCTTGGTTGAGGATTGCTACAGGAATTCAACAAGACATGACGAGCAAGATGGGCAAAGATCGGAAGGAAATGAAAGATGGGATTCCGACAAAGGGAATTGAGAAGGAGGTGAATGAGGTGGAGAATAACAAACCAGAGACGAGGGATAATGGGAGTTAGCGAATAGAAGGAGATAGAGAGGAATGGAGGAAGGAAAGGGAGAGGAGAAGAGGGAGAGAGTGAGGGCAAGAGGGGAAAGAGGGAGGAGCAGGGAAGAGAGGGAGGAGAGGGGGGAGGGAGGAGAAGGGGAGAGAGGAAGGAGAGGAAGGAGAGAGGGAGGAGAGGCAAGGAGAGGGAGGAGAGGAAGGAGGAGAGGGAGTAGAGAGGAGATGGGTAGAAGAAGGAGGAGGAGAGGGAAGGGAGGGAAAGGGAGGGAAAGGGATCTCGGGAAGAAAAGGTCTAAAAGTTTTGCGGGCCCGCCCACGATTTATTCCGTTAGAAAACGTTACAGACGTTACGGGCGTTTCTCATGCCTCTTCGTCGACATGCCCATGTTTGTGCGAGGGGCATGCGCGCTTCAGTGGCAACGATGCTGGGACCAACTGCCATGCGCCTCCCTCCTCCTTCGTGTTTTTGTTCTCCTAGCTCCCTCCTATCGCTCCCTGTGATGTCCACCGTCCTTCCATGTACCATGCCCGCTTCTCCTGTCGCCTTTCCTCCTCTTTCCCCCTGCCGTGCGTGCTCCGTCCCCTCCCCCACCTCACCCGCTTGTCCCACCGTGTTCAATACCCTCTCCCCTCAAATTACACTGCCTTCATGCACTTTACCCCGCATTGTTGTGGGAGATTCCTTCATCTCCATCTCCACCTTCATATTCGTTGTCGTTGTTGTGGTCGTGGCCATCCTCCTCCTCCTCCTCCTCATCATCATCATCATCATCATCATTATCATCATCATCATCTCCCACCTGCTTTCGCCTTGATTTCTTCCACCCACCGCCATTTTCCTTTTCTCGTCACTCTGCATTTCAATTTTGAGTTATATTCTTGCTTTCTTCTTACACCTCGAATCACTTTTATTTCCTTGTACTCGTTTCGATCATCAGCTATGTCCTTTCGGCCTTCAAACATTTATTGCAACTCACTGAATCGAAAGGCTGATGTAGTCAGTTGCTGCAATGTCGCTGATCTTTGAATCTCCTCCCTCCATGGAACCCACTCAGCTCACTGTTGACGCAGGTTGAAACTGGACTGTTCCAGACAATTCTCTGAGCAGGATGCCCTTTCTACATCTCTTCGTACGTCTACCCATCCCTCCCATCTCTCTTCTGACTGTCCTCTACCCACCCCTCCCATCTCTCTTCTGACTGTCCTCTACCCACCCCTCCCATCTCTCCTCTGACTGTCTTCTTGCTAGCCTGGCCTCATGCTGGCGGATGTGACGACCAACAGCTTCCCCAACGGTCATACAGGAACATGGGAGCATCCTCCTCTGGCTGGACACGCTGGCGATGTTGGGTAAGATTCCTGCGTGCTCTGCGCCCCTCCCAGCCCCCACCAGCTCATTCTTCTCATCCCTCCCAGCCCCCACCAGCTCATTCTTCTCACCCCTTCACTTTCAACTGTTGAACTGTCTTGCTCTCTGTACTCGTCAACTCATGCTTACTGCAGCGATGGAACTTGGGGTGGTACCAACCCTGTCCTGTACGAAGACTCGTCGTCCCCGCACGGACTCTGCCTCTGACATGCTCGCAGGACCTGGGGGTGGAAGGGAGGACAGAAGGACAGCGGGGTCTACGACAATGTTCTCCCGGTGCGATCATGATGTGCTGTGGTCATAATTCGCTGCCGCTCATCTCCTTCCTGCAGGATCCGGACCATCACACGTGGGCTCCTGCCAGCACACCTGTGGATCCTACTCAGTGAGTGAAGAGAGCGATGAAGGGAGGAGAACGATTCTGACTCTTGTGTGTGTGCGTGTGTGTACAGGTACCAAAAGGAATGGCTAGGAAACATCATCAACATCTACTGATTGACGATTGCAACTGCAAGGTCCATGTTGCAGAGATCAAAACTTCACTTAATACATAGCGAAATCCCATGTCATGACAAGAGAGCAAACCTTGCTGTGGGTGTGCAATTAAGATAAACACTGTGATCAAACAGCAGATAAATTGATCACAGTGTCATCTACTTCACAACACCACCATCCTGCCAAGTCTGTAATTGTGCTCCTTTTTGCATTCTCTGTCTCTTTGTTCCTCATACATGCTTACCTGTAAGATACCGGGCGCTGAAGGCGAACATGTCCTCTCTCTTTTTCGTGAGGCTCTTTTTCGTGGTCGATCAGCCTTCGAATAATCCACGAATAGCAATCATCAAGTATATACAGAAAGATTTATTCAAAATGGAGAAAACAGTGAACGATCAAACAGTGAAAACCAGACGCAGCAACAGCAACTGCAAACCCGGCTAGAAGATCTAAATCACACTACTTGAAACAAAAGTTGTTCAGGCCCATAGGCCCGTTTGTAGCTAAGGTATGGACGTTGGAAGGACTGATCTTCATGTCAAGCTTCTCCTGCAGCTTCGACCAGTTCTGAATGTCTTCGATGGCCTTGTTGGCACTCTCAATCATGTCACAGTTGGAAGTCAGCTTCTTCTCACCAACAACGAGCCCCTTCTTCTTCTTGGGCCCTGGGTTTGGTGACTTGTAAGGCCACTTTGAGATTCCGAGCTTCCTGCATGCCCTCTTGATAGCGGTAGGGCAGATTCCGAGTTTCTTCGAGACAAGCGCAAGAGGAGAGTTGAAATGACTCTCAAGCAGCTCCTTTGTGAGAGCAACAGGCTCGTCAGAGTTTATCGCATCATGCTTCCAAGAAGACTCTCTTTTCTTGCGAGGGCAAACTAGTGCAGTCTTGGAGTTGGCTGACCCAGTAGGAGAGGGAGACGTTTCCTCCATGGCCTTGTTCGCAGGCTTGTCCCCGGCCATAGTGCTGTCAGCCATGTGCATCTTGGGCGCTGCAGCAAGTTGCGCGAGTTGAACATGACCGCTGGACGGCTGCAGAATCTGCTGAATTGAAGGAGGGGCGGAGACACCCGCGAGAGTCTGAGGTGAAGGCGACGCTTGAGTGATCTGACGCAAAAGAACTTCGAGGGGAAGCATGGTCGCAGTCAAAGGCTGAGGAGCATTGAGCTGAAGAGTATTCGCCATCATCAGGCGCGCTTCATAGAGCGCCATGAGGTTTTGTATTGCGAGATTGTTTGTAAGCTGATTGTTTATCGGAGCGTGCATGATTTTGTTTGGAGCAACAAGAAACAAGAACAGGGAGCAACCAGGACGGCTGTAGAAAGAAGGATCCACTGGTGACAAGAAAGGAAGTCACACCAGTTCGAAGAGCGGAGGAAGGACAGAGGGGAGGAAGGACAGTGGTGAACGAGGCGGAGAGGATGGAGGACGTAAGCAGAATGGGTGGCGATTTCCGAGAGGAGACGCAGGGGTACAGGTAGAACTAAAAATTGAGAGGTGGAAGTCTAAACTCCCCGTCACGTTTCCCTGGATATAGTGGGGGTGGGGGTGGGGGTCGGGTAGGATATAGGGGTAGTGTCCCCAATTCGTCGTAGGGTCCTGCGTGGGGTGACAGCGGGAGGTTGTAAAACCACGCAATGGGGTAGGGTGTTGCAACTGACAAGAGGTGGGGTGGGTATTGAAGAGGTACTGACAGATTTGGGTGTTGGCTGACAGTCACTTTGTTACCCGAGGGGGTACTCAGGAACGAGGTACAGAAAGGGATTAAGGAGGGGTGCTTTGCTTGGCTTCGATGTAAAATGATGGGTGGGTGGATGACAGGAAGCTAAAATAGGGGGTAGGGTGTATGGAGGAGGGGTGCCAATGATCACCAGAAGAATATCTAACTTGCAAGAAGGTCACGTTGGTAGCAAAAAGATGATAGGGAGGTATAATCAATGGCGTTAAGGCGAGTAGATCAGGGTAGACGATTTTATAAGTGAACCAATAGGAAAACCTGTAGAGTCTTTATGCCTGTGTTGCATCCTTCCACCTACGTAGCCTATTGAGGGGTCTAACGTACTGCCTGCTCGTGACCAAGATTCCTAAATGTTATTTTAATATGCCATGAGCTGTGTGGTAAACTATGATCTTTAGAATAATAGGGCCAACTCCGGTCAGCAAAGCATGCTTAAGTCAGCATTACCCGTCGGAAAGCGGAGAAGTAACGTGATAAATCAGGTAGTAAGGCCCCCAAACCCCACTCGCAACGGTCAACTCCTACCCTACCTCACAATCCAATAAACCTATCCACCTCTGGTCGATTGTTTCCCCAGAATATCAGGCCCAAAGGGTGGGTGGGATTCGGGCGAGATGGTGGGGGGTACTTCCCGAATCACTTGTCTTACAGGCACCTGGTGCCTTTGTCATGCAGCTCTCACGAAAGAAATTTTGAAGGGCCTCAATCTCGTAGCCCTTATTGACCTCAATTGTTCGGAGTTGCTAGGTCCTATATCGGCACCACGGGGTGGGTCGGAATTGGGGGATGCCTCGGAAGTTAATCTGATATCATAACCCTCAAAGATCAGAGATTCTTCAATTGATGTCTTAGGTAGAATTGATGATCATGCTATATAGCCTTTGACGAAAGGATGCGACTCAACACTCGGAGGATCCATGGGGGTTATGAAACAAAAAACGTTTGGAAACAAAGAAAAGAATCAGCAAAATGGTTGCATTCCGAGAGGTTGGGAGTTTAAAAAGGGGTATGCCAACAAAGGCCACCCCCCTGTGTCTGTATTCACAGGGGTGTATTCGGATTCACCGTGTGGTAATAAGGATACATTTGCTGTAACGTGATTGGGGAGAAAGGAAATGTGGGGATGACATGATCAGTCTTGTTACTCCTGGTAACGTGACCTATTGGGAGTCATGGGTCACTTTCCGGCATTGGGAGGCGGAGGATATGTAAAGAAGAGTACCCACCCCTACCTACTATTATGGGGTACCTTGTCAGCAAGATTGAAGGGTGCAAGATATCATAGCTGCCTCCAAATCCAGGCGGCTGAGACCGGGCCCGTGACTGAGGAGTCCCGGCGGCGGCCTCTACCACTGAACTTTCACTCATCATCCCACGCCGGTATCGGTCTATTTTACTAGGTGACCCGGGCCGCGGCGGCGGCGGCGCCCCGTGCCGCCGGAAGACGGTGCGGCCCCCCGGCGGCGATCGGACCGTGGCCACCGTGACACGCCGCCGAGTCAGGCGCTCGCGGCCGCCGCCGACCGGAGTCCTCCCGGAGCCTGGGCTCAGGGCCCGGCCCCCCATTCTGGGGTCAAACCGCGTTGGTTTTTGCCCTATATCTTCAAGGGGGTGGTGCATGGGAAAATGGGGGTACACGGCGTGTGATTTGCGCAGGTTGAAATTTTGTACTGTTGAAATTCAAACCATATTCAAAACCGTGATTAAAAGTGATTTTGGAAGTTTAGCTTATCGTTTCTTGGTACCTTCTAAAATGTTTTAATTCTACACGCCTCCACCCACTACCCCAGCGCGTCTCCCCTCACCATTCTGCTCTCATGTCGCGAAGCTCTTCTCTGCCGATCCTTGTCTTCAGTGTTTGAGTTTTGTGCGAGCATGTTTGCCCAAGTTGCAGTCACTTGCAGCAGGTGAGCCTCATCAATATTTCTCTTCGTCAAACCCGCTGTGCCGGTTGGTGAAAATGTTACAATGCCATAATCTGTTTTCAAAGTTTGGTTTGTTGAACGCATCCATTGATGGGGACGAGTATACCACGAACACACACGAGCATGAAGAGACTCGAAAGTATTTTGTGAGAGGAAAAGGTGCAAATGAACTCATTACATCACACAGTTAGAGAGTTCTGCTGTGGATTGTTCATTTTTTAATCGTTGTGAACAAGTAGCAAAAGCATGGCGATGTTGATAACTAGGTTCTGAATGGTTGCAGCTGAAACGCACATGATTACAAGATTCCAAGACCTTTATTCCACGAAGACCTTCATCTTCATGTACTGGATGGAATATCATATTTATGAGAGATGCTTCACTGTGCCACATTACTTGTTCACATCATGTTTGTACTTCTCCGCCTTTGAATGATGCATCTCTTGTTGCATGACTTAAAAACCACTTTGTGAAGATGCATAGTCTTGTATATATCCATGTCCACATGCTCAAAGCCTTGCCACTTTGTGACAAACAATATTGAAAAATCTTGAAGACAGCAAACCCAACGGCACGGTGTTGGATGGCAGTGCACCTACAGCATGTGCTTCGATTCTGTTGTGCGCGCACCATATGCTATTGTGGTTGTCATTATCATTGACTGGGAGTCCGTGTCAATTTGCTGGTAGTTCGACATCCTGAGATAAATGCTTCGAATGAATAATAAATGTCAAATCAGATATCACCTCCAACCTTGATTCTACATTCATGTCAGTCTGATTGCAACGCACAATGGATTCTTGCATGCAAGCTGACAAGCTCGAGACTTGATCTCTGATATGATCTGAGGCTTAATTGGACGTCAACAGCTCCGCCATTAGGGAAGCAAAGCAAAGTTCATGCATTTCACCAAATGTGCGAACATGCAAAGGACTTGAGTGAGGAGAGTTTGGAGAGGGGAGGGGAGATACTTCAACAAGAGCTTCGTGAGAGTCAAGTAATTAGGGTTTAGGCAAAAATTCAAATATCATCAAACTTTTTCTGAACGTGTGAAGCAACGATGTAACGAAGCGTACAGAAGACATGCCGAGGAGGGAGTCAAGTGAGATGTGATTGCGCCTTAATTAAGTGAACTCGTCATTGTCTTACAGATATTATTATTCAGTTCACTTTTCAGATAAAGTACATTACTCTGAGAGCCCAGAAGTCTTGAAGAGAACATTGATGATACGATTGACTTAGTCGTCGGACATGTAGGATGACGAACTCATGCAGATTGATCCACTCCTGCAAGATCACCAAGTAAGAATTTATGCTGGATTCTTGATGCCAAGTGTACCTTGCGATCATCTTCTTACTCGGCAGTCCTTCACCTGTGCTCATGGTGGCAGCTCGCTGACCTGGCTGCTGTGCTCGCCCGGCGGCTCAGCATGACGGTGTGCGATTTGACGATGGGAATGATGGGGAGTGTTTCCCCACCCTCATCGATAGGGTGGGTCATCAAAATTGTTTTAGATGGTACAAAACAGCAGTTATAAACCGTTACTCAGTACAACTGCTTGTACCACGGATTCGAATAAACAATTCATTACCGTTAAAACAAATGGACACGCCAGTTCAAAATTTGAAGCACCCCTACCACTGATATTACCGAGCACCACCCCTCAAAAACGATGGGGTACACCAAATTCGGTATCCTATGAGAACC